CCGCTGAAGAGAGAGTCATGTCAAAATAAGTGCAGCTCTTACTTTGTGAGGACTTTTCTCTCTTGGCCTTTTTTTTTTTTCCACAGTCTTTCTTTGGAGTGTGATTTGGTTCTCCCCCCCCTCTACAAAAGAAAAAGAAAAAACACACAACAAAACAACAAAAAACTGCTCTTCTTGGTTTAATTCGCCAAATCGGCACTCGGCGGGAGAGCTGGAGAAATATTCAGATTTCACAGAGAGGCGAGGAGTTTGGAGGCATTTGTCAGGCGCTCTGAAGTGAAATGAATTATGCAAATGAGATGTTTGGCCCCGGCTGTCTGCAGAAGCCATTAGGGAGGACAAAACTCTAAAGACACTGAAGCATCTGCATCTCAGGCGCTGCCAGTCCACTGAACAGATAAAAGAAAATATCTCTTTTCTCTCATAAACACACAGCATATATCCTCTTCAACTCTTACTTTCTTTCTTTCTTCTATATTCATATGCAGTTAGAAGACAATACAGAACCGTTCTCTTGTTTGTCTTTTCAATGTGAAGCTACAGCGAGGCTAGCTGTTTCCAATATTTATGCTAAGCTAACTGTCTCCTGGCTTCATATTATATAATCAATAGACAGATATGAAAGTTGTATTGCTCTTCTCATCTCTCAAGAAAGCAAATAAGTGTACTTTCTTAAAAAGTTAAACTCTTCTTTTCAGTATTGAGCACAAACAGGTAAACAGCTGAATAAATGTTTCCAACATGTCTTATTGTCTGACTGTGTCTTGAGGCTTCCATGTTGCCAGATCTTAGCAACAAACTTAAAAAATGTATATACGTATATAGACATAGTTATTACTATCAATTGGAATGATGGCCAAAACTACAAAAAATTAAATCCAAATTCAAAAAAATTGTATTAAATTTGAGCATATCTGTTTTATGTTTTTTTTTATAGTAGGGATAATACACATTAATTGAAATGAGCACTTGAGTCAGACTTAGCCATAGAGGCTCTAATGGACACTGAATGGTTACAGTTTTCAGACAGCTGTTGCTGTGATTGCGTTCGCCCTCCTCCATCCTCCCACACGCATTAACTAACGCACCTCCTCCCACTCTCACTGACAACGAAAGGCCGTGCAGATGTGAAGCCAATTCGGAAAGCCGAGGTCAGAGCTGCTATTAGCCCACAGCGACGACGCTTCTCTTTCGGTCGCGCACACATTTGAAACCCTCCTTGACCTCCCTGTGCCACCTTTGACGGTCTGTAATGCAGCGATCTGTTGCACCCGGATGTGATCGGGTCTCTGTGTGGCTCCTCTGATTGTTCAAGTTACATATTTGAAATGCTTTGAGCAAATAAATGCAAATAACAAACGCACAGAATTCAGTTAAACTTCACTGTGAGTTGGCAGAAGTTTCGGAGAGCAATATCTCAACACTTTCAAAGATAATTTGACAAAACAATCTTGAATAAAAGTCCATCTATTAGCTTTTTATGGAGGCTTCAAACCCCTTATTATGGGCCTTATCAGCTGGTGGAGCCAAGACTTTTACATAGACTGTATGAAAGAAGATGACGAAGTCCCTGTGACGTCACATACGATTTAGAAGCCTTCAGTTAGGTATTTTGGCCATCGCCATCTTGGTTTTTTGCAACCAGAAGTGACACAAAAAGGTGGATGTAAGTACAACCGAGCACTGACTAAGAATTTTTAGGTGACCAAAATGTCACAATTAACTTTCATGTACTAAAAACACAGTCTGAGAGGGTTAAAGTTGTAAGACGAAAACAAGGGCAACTACAGACGCCATGGTGGCAGAACTAGAAGTCCCAATCCTCCCCCATGATGTGGAGGGCACTTCCTGTATTTAAAAGCTCTGCATCTTTTGCGCCACATGACAACTTGTCCCAGCAGCAGCGCTGGTGAATTTAAATCAGCCGTGTGGCAGCAGGTGCTGCCGTCCCCAAGAGCTGATAGCGGGAGAGAGTTCCAGGCGATACGCTGTACCTTTGACCAATCAGGCTAGTCGTCCATTTTAGGACACAAACACAAAAAGACAAGAAGACGACACATGAATGTGTCTGACATGCCTTCAACGCCAATTGCCGCTGTGCAACTGCTCGCATGAGTCGTTTTCCGAATGATCACACTGTGTGGGTAGTTGTTAGAGGACTCTGACAAACGACTTGTTTTCTCGTCACACTGAGAACCCGAGAGAGGAAGCCTCGGTCTGCTCTCTCACCTTGCTGAGTCACGCTGCAGTGAGTGCGGTTGCGCTTCAGGTTTTTGGAAATCAAGTTTGCGCGAGTGGTCTTGATAAATCAAGCGCTAAACTGCTGAAAGCTGCGCCTGTCATGTTTTTGCCCCATGGTTGTAATTACAGTGACTCTAGTGGTTGAGTACACATGCATAATTTAGTTAGAATATGGAAAAGATGGAACAGAAAACTACAGCAAATAAAAAAGAGAGAAAATAGGAATAGAGCAGGAGCTATTCCTTTCAATTCTTTGTCAAGACATGAACGCTTTGACCTCTGACCTCCTCACAGTTGTCTGCTTGCCTCTTTGTCCATTTACTGTTGCAACTGAAACTCATTTTGCTTTTGGTCCGTCTGGATAAAAGCACCAGCTTTGGCCCTGAACACCTCCCGAGTCTTCATCCCTCTTGCTGTCTCATTTAGTCAGCCATTTAGAAGCATCTCACCGGCCGACAGCCTCCTGCCCACATCTCTGTGGCGGTTTCAATCTGTGAGAAGCGCAGAGTCACTCTGAATATCCTGGCAGGGGCTCCGACGTTTGTTAACCCGTCGTGTCAGATGCCGTCTGTTCAGCCGCCGCTAACGTCCGTTTTCTCAGCCACCACGGCTGCCGTTACGGGCTCAGTTTTATGGCTCTTTGAGGGCGAAAGCATGGCCTGACACAATGTGCAGCTGTTCAAGAGAGGCTTGTGCCTGATTCCGTGTGGCAGTTGGGGTCGTAATTCATTGTGCAGGGGTCTAAAGAAGGTGTCCGGGTGCTGAGATGTTCCGTAGCGAGTGGAGCTGATTTAATTAGTGCAGCAGCGTAGATGAAGTTGTTAGAAACTGTCTCGCTGTTGGTTGCTCATCAGTATAATGAGATGCCTCGTTCGGGAGGACTCCGATTTTATGAAATGCTGTCAAATCCTAACACTAGGCTGACTTTAACATTGACCAGTGGAGGTTGAGGAGATGAAAGTCAGTTGGGAAAATACATTTACCATTTCTTTGACCATTTCTTTGTTTTGTTTCCTGGGGCATGTTATGGCTCAGCTTTGTGGAGCTTTATAGTGAGTTTCAGCTCATTGTTCATCTGTGCGGCTACAACTTTACAGCTTGGGTCACTCTCATCGTTCTTATAGGGTCATTTTCAGAGAAGAAAAACTATAAAAAGCCACTTTTCACTACCTGCTCAGCAGCTAACAGCAGACAGACAGTTAAAGACTAGCTGGTGAACATTGTGGAGCATTTAGCAGCTAAAGAGATATTTCCCTCAGGAGTTGGTGGACGGAGCTAAATGAGAGAGAATATGTATTTTTTACGATTGTAACAGTGAATAAAGACCTACCCAGCTTTACAGGAACAGTGTTGTTCCTTTATTTCGTTGTCTTCCATCTCGATCACCAGGTGAAGCCAGGTGATAATTAGCTTCTATCTTTATCTTTTTTAACCTGTTTTTGCTGCTGAATCAGTTCGTCGTCCTGGATTTGTAATTTAAATACACACTGTAGATCCTTTTGTCTGCTTCTCTCTGAAATCCTTTTTTTGTTTTTCCAAAAATTACACAATAGTTTTTCAGGGAGTGCAGTTAGTGACAGTGTGGGCTCCATGGTAGCAGCAGGAGGCGGGGCTTAGCGAAGGGTTAATTATAGAGATTTTCACTTCTTCAATCGGAGTGAATAAATAAAGCGAAGCATGCTTTTAATGTGTGTTCTTATTGAATGTGTGCATTTTCTTTATTTATGTTTTAAATACATGTATAATATGAAAAATGAAAATAATGTATTTGCAAGAGTGGGTTTAGAGTTTCACATAATTTTATATGCATTTATTTAATGTCACACAGCTGCATTTAGCACTAAACATACAAACAAGACACCTAATACTAACAGTAATCACACATTATTTTTGTCACAAAACGTTTTTTAACTTGGAAATGCAACTCTTCGTCATTTCTTTTAAAATGTCTTCACCTTCTGAAAACTTGAGAAACAGGCTTTACAGACTACAGCGGTGGTGTTCTCGTTCTTTTTTTTAAGAGTGCGTCCTCCGTTCTGGACCCACATCTTGTGGCATCACATCTGGAGCTGCCGTCTGTATTACTCGAATCTTTCAGGAACGTCATCGCTCATCTGCCAAATGCCTCTCGGTTCATGTTGTGCTTTGCGCGGCGCAGCCATATTTCCGGTATAACATTTCGTTCCGCTACCCCATCTGGTGCTGGCGCCTGCTCCTCTGTTCGGATGCCAAAAAAATCTGTGTTTGGATGCATGTTAAGCATAAGAAGCAGACATGAATGCCCAAGCAGCTCATCAAACTTGTCCTTTTGTACACTTGCTGGAATGCAGAAGAGATTTATGTCGATTATGCTTCATTTGCCAGTAAATGCACGGGAGTGTGTGGTTGACATTGGTGCTGAGACAGTTTGACAACTAGAGGATAAAGAAAATGTTACTCAGAAGAAAAGGGACACAGCTGCCTAAACTGCTCATCAATATTTCTCCTTGTGCCCTCAGTTGCACAGAGAAGACAAACATTTTTTGAATTGAATGTGAATCATCAGGAAAGTGGAGCATTGGTCGAGTATTTGATTGTATAAGTAAACCACAGGTTAATAGTTTCTGCTTCTTCACTGATGCAGCCAGCCTATAGTCTCTCCAGAACACGCCGCTCTGCTCATGAGTGACCTAATGAGTGAAGGGAAATTACAGCATGCTCAGCAATTTATAGCCCTTCTTTCCAGACCTTAGTAACTGCATTTCAGCTGGACTTCCTTCATGCGTAAAACTCACTTTCTGAGTACGCCACTGCAGCGTTAAGTCACAATTCAATCTTTTCCGTCTGAGACACGTAGGTGTAGAACTGCCTCCAAGTAGAAACAATAGGGTTCTGACATGGTTCTTAAGGTTCTCCGTGTTTTCCGTCCGTAGGTTTGACCTGGGAAGATGACGCCACTCAGCAGGTTCTGTCCAAGGAGCTGTCCAAACTGAGGAGGGTTCCCTACAGGCCTCAGCAGAATGGAGCTGTGTACAACACCGACAGAAGGTCAGATGTTTACCCATCAGTTAAGATCTGTGGAGATGACCCGCTGTCCCACTGTGGTCCAAAAACAGTTTTACGGGATTTCACTAGTGCTGGTTTTACAAAGATATTTTGGACTGGTGTTGGCTCATAGATTAGTCTGAAGCAGGTTAGATTAGATGTGATGCATGTTACGCAAAATAAAGACAAACTTGTTTATAGACCTTAAAAGTGAACCACTCTACCCCAAATCTAACTCAGAAATAAGAGCCATTACTTCACCACTATTTAATTAGTGATAGAAAATGACAAAAAAAGAAAACACGTCTCATAATTTGTTTGCAAAAATATTGTGAAGCTACCAGTGAGACGAGAGAGATGTATTTAGAGAGTGCTGTCCCCTGTTGGAAGTATGTCGGTGTATATATTTTAAATAAAGTAATGATTTTGGAAAAAAAAGAATTATTTGGCTGTACAGTGATACAGGTATGTGCACCTTTCCTTCCTTTTTCACTCTGTCACAGGCCGGTATCTGAGGCGATGGACCCAGCAGAACAGAGGGTGAAGCCCGTGGAGGCGGAGCTCAGCAGGAATCTGCAGACGTACCTCCAACGTCTCGGCCTCGTTCCGAAGACGTCGTCTGCCTCCAGTCTGAGCACCCAGGTCAAGGTGAGGGATTCCTGGATGCTATATGCGTCTCTTCTTGGTCTCCGCTCTCCAGTGAAAGCATCTACTAATAAACGAGTAAAGCCTGGACTCACACAGCACAAAGTCCAGCTCCTGTTGCTCCCTGTTTCACATTTGAAAGTGGGAAGAGCAGGTGGGACATTTGTTTTCCACCCCAACATCTGCTTGTCACCCCACTCTCCGCTCACAGCCACCTGCCTCTGTTAAAAAAAAGACTCAATAAAGTTGCAATCAAACAAGTACTGAGCCATAAAACGCACACACACACACACCACACACACACACACACACACACACACACACACACACACACACAGTTTTTAGTGATTAACTGAAAAGAGAGGATCTTTCTGCTGACTATTTACATTTTTTATTTCATCCTGGTTGTTTTCCTATATTCTTCCCTTCTTTTGGATTCTGAAATTGAAAGTTTTTACTCTCCTGCCCTCTGGGGAGCCCTTTATTTTAATACAGTGCCAAAACTGAAACTGAAGATATCCACTAAAGTTGAGCATTTATATTTTGCTACATAAACATAATACAAAAAAAAAAAAATGTTTCAAGAGACTGGTTTCTTCGCTAAGTAGCCTGTTTAATAGCCCCTCTACATTCTGAAAGACTGGCCTGGGGCTGCGAGCCATTCACACAATGGAAGAGTCTGGAGCATGGACTTAATAAACACTCACACATCTTCACTCTGCTCAAAATAAAAAATTAAAATCACCACAGAGTTTTAGACAGTATTTTAGCTTGAATTAAAGCATGACCAACAAGGGACTTCCAAAATGTCCCCTGTTGGCGATGGAGTCCCCTGTAGGTGAATGTGCAAATACGGTGATGTCCACTGTTGGATAGGAAGGTGAGAACAAACACACCTTCACAGCGTGGAATCCGGTGTCATCCTTCGTTGTCGCTCCCGCTCTCGCTTCTTCGTCCTAACTGATGGCTTCTCCCAGCGTGGCCGTTACGAGCGAAATAATACCAGCCGAGAGTTCATGAGTTCACTTCTCTAATTAATAACTCTCCACGTGACTGGTCTCTCTCTCCAGCGGGGCGAGGGCAGAGGGAGCGCCGCTGCTGAATGGCGGAGGCCTTTCTCCTCCTCCACAGAGCACGGGTGGCACTGAGCCCTGCAGGCATCGCTTTGGGGCTCGTGGCCTTTTTTCTTCTATCCGAGTTCATGCGTTTGGTGGAAAAAGGAAAAAGGAGCAGGAGGCCCAAAAGGGGGGGGGGAATAAAAACCGCACCAACTGTGCGACACACAGCAGATTAATAAAGATGCCGACAGTGACAAATACCAGGAGGGGCCTCCGCACATACAGATCCTAAAGAAGTATGACGAGCTGTGGGGGAACTTTACGGTTCATGTTGGTATTGTTATGATAATTTTACCGTTCGTCAGGCTTGTGCCATCTCTGTGCTCCCAGGTGGGCGTTCAATGGAGCCGGCAGGGACAACTTGCTTTTGTTGTAGTTGATGGATCTGTTAATATGATTGCATAAATAGATTAAGAACTTGTTTTTTTTATCAAATAAAGGCTTACTTTTCATGTCAGTAGTCATCATAGACGTTGGATGAAAGCCGAGATTTTTTTCGACGACATTTAGATATGTTTAGATTTTGTGATGTGAAGCACTTCGACTTCATCTCCTTCCAGATAAAACAATACGTCTTACGTGAATTTGTCTTTAATCATTTTATTTTGAACCATTTAAAAAAATAAATGAAACTTGTATTACTTTTTTAGAGAATAACATAATATACAAGTCCTTATTTGACAAGAATGAAACTGTTTTAAAGAATGCATCATCATATCTTTTTATATATTAAATGAGTAATCGAGGCATATTTTGACCAGTATTATATGACGACTAGGACTAAACCAAAAGCTGCTCCGGTAGGATGACTTGGCAATTTTACCTCAGCAACATATTTTTTTGCAACCGCATAAACAACCGTATCTCTGCTCATTACTTCAGTGTTAGGTGGACGTTTGTCTTTGTCCCAGCATCTGCATGAAGTACAATTCAGTCACGTCCACACACCTGGACGCCTGCTTCTCTCTTTTAGACCGTGGCAGCAGAGAAATGAGAGGAAACGAGGCAGAGAGAGATGGCCAATGACCATCAAGCTGGCCTGGGGTCGATTCACAGTCGGGGCCCTTAAACTTTTTGGCCCCCAGACAACGGCAACATGAATAAGGATGTAATAATCTACACGGTCATGTTTACGGTTTGGGTTCCCCATGACGGCACAGTGTTTCTTTAAATGAACTCTGTGTGATTATAATTGCTTTTTCTTGTTTCTTTCAGGGCGACCGTTTCCAGTCCGGCATCCCTGCGGACTTCTACCGCTCCGAGGCCCAGATTATGCCTCAGAAGTCGTCTCCCTCCGGCTTTTCCTCTCTTCCATCTTTCTTACCTCTGCAGGAGCAGAGACCCCCAGACGAGCAGCTCCTCGTCACGCAGGCCGAGGGTGACCTTCTCCTGGGCGCCCTGAGGCAGTATCTCTCCGCGCATCGGTCCCTTTACGGTGGAAGGGTGAGCCCCGAGGAGCAGGAGGCCCCCTCGACCCGCCTGAGGCCCTTCTACAGCAGAGCAGAAAATCCTGGGCTCAAAAAAGACACCTCAAAATCCAGGCTTCTGAAGTTGGGGAGAACTCAAGGGGTTTCAGTCAAGGACCCTCTGACTTCTGTGGATGGTACGTGTTTTAAAGTGCACCATGGAAGGTCATCTCACTCACTTGCATGTACAAGAAACATCTTCTGTGTTTTCAACTATCAATGCTTTTAACTCAACTTTGGCGATTTGTTAAGCTGGAGTTTGTGGCCTGAATGAATAGAGGGTCAGCTTCCTGTTCTGTTGCATTGCTTTGCTCAGATGTCGCAGTCATGGTACATAAATGACAAAATAGAACATTTGCTTGTGACTTCCAGAACAACATCACCTAAATGACTTCTATGGGTCTGATCTGCCACCTCCATGCTTAAGCTCTGGTCAGATTTAAAGCAAAAAAAAAAAATAACAATGAGTAACGGTAGAATTCATGTTTCAACGTTGTACCTGAAATGTGTTCTTGCCAGATGTTGAGCATCTGTATTGGGACCCCAGCTATTTCAGCTCAGCGGTATCGTTTGAATGAATGAAGGTGCTGAAATCATTATAAAGACAAAAGAATCAAACTCCTGATTCCGATAAGTCAACGAACCTGTTGTCCTGTGTCACTGGAACGTCCTTTGCAGATGCAGTTCAGCCAGTTGGATATGGAAATTGTAATTTCTGAACATTTAAAGCTGCACTAACTCATTATTTTTGGCCAATTTAGGGGCAGCGTAAACAAGTTGTAGATACAACATAAACTTTTAAGTTGATATGGTGGATTCTTATTTTCCCATCCAGCAGTTATTCTTTACATTATATTCAACAGGTGGACAGAAACACAAATGCTCCTAATGAGTGATAAGTCCAGTACTCTCTCTCTTTTAGCTGTTTTTGGTCTCCACCCACTCCTGAGGGAAACATCTTCATCATCTTTAGCTGCTAAATGCTCCGCTATGTCCACCAGCGAGTCTTTAACTGTGTCTGTCTGCTGCTTCGTGCTGAGCAGGTAGTCAGCAGTGGATTTATACAGATCTTTCTCTGAGAACGACACGTATGGACCTCTTATCCATGTTGACATTGAAAGCTCCAGCAACTTAATGGACCAGATGGTGACATTGTTTTAGTCAACCTCTGTTTCCCAGATGAAGTTCTAAATCAAACAACACACTGTCATTCTCAGCGTTTTAACAAACCACCTCTGTGTCTCCTCCAGAGAGGTTCATCGAGAACGTTTTGAAGAGCGTCGGCAGGCACCACGTTGACGTGAACGGCCTGACGGCACAGGACTTGGGGCAGCTGTCCAGCCTCATTGCTGATGCCCTGCAGGTGGTGGACCAGGACCAGGGACTAAACAGGGGCATAACCCGTGTCAGACCTGGACCGAGAGACCTGGGGGGAGAGGAAGAAGAAGAGGATACTGCCAGGGATGAGGAAGAGGAGAAGTTGCTGGAGAATGCTCCAAAACTGAAACCACAGGAGATCCCTCGTGTGGCGCCGGCAGCACTTCAAGGTGATTTTGTAGTGATTAATTTCGTGTTTTTGCACAATTAAAGTATTGAGCAGAAGCTGGTAAGCGAGTCTATAGTACATTCATAACTGTAGGTAGGATTAAACAAACAAAGGAGCTCTCAAGCAGCTTGCCTGCAAGAACGCAGCATTAAAATCAATGTGAAAATAAATGGGCATCCTGTTAAGCTCAGTGTAAACACAGCCAGCTTCAATGCTTCAGAGTCCACCGAGACCACTCCAGCTGAAATGTTTCCAACACGGTGAAGAAGAATGCTTAACAAATAGCTTTAAAACGGCTGAAAATAGTAAACCAAAAACCTAAATGTTAGCTTGTTTTGAAACAAGCAGACCTTTGAATAAAACTGCAGTTGGAAGGTGAAATGACAATAACGTTTTGTCATATTTGTTTAAACTGTCACTATATCCTGACGGTAATGCATGAGATACATGATGTCAGGTTTCTCTGCCTTCATTTAGTCCAAGAAGAACAACCAATCAGAGCAGAGGAGTCTCTAACGGAGCTGTCAGTCACTGCTGACAAACTCTGATCAAACTGTCAAACTCGTCACCGCTGATCGAATATGAGTCAAGATGATGTCACTGCATTGCCTCTTTCTCACCTCCACATGTTTACAGCAACATACTTCAGAGCACCGTCGAGCTGTAAAATGAGGAATGCTGCTCCGGCCGGTGGGCGGGGCTTGGTTTGGGGCTTGGTTTGGGCTCAGCTTGTTTTCAACATGGCGGATCTCTCTCACAGATTATCTGTCTCGCGTACTACTGTCAGGATGTAGTGGCATAGTTATCAATGAAGTTATTCTTGTTAAAGTTACTGAATGTAGCTTTAATGCTTATCTGATGTTTTTCAAGATGTGTTTAGTAAAGAAAAAAAAATAATCTGTGAAATATGAAAATACTGCAACTGTGAATTCATATCAGTCAAATATTGAAGTTTATTAATTTATTATTTAATTTTGAAAGAAGTCCTTGAAATTTGGACATCTGGTTTTTATCTCTTTGTTTGTTTTTACTTCTGTTCATTTTGATCAACATTACTCTTCTCGTTGATGAACACCAACATGTATCAACACTTTCACTCTCTTTCTCCCAACAGAGCGCCACACGAATACAGAGGAGCGTAACATGAAGGACACGGTAAGCAGTCAGTGTGGTGAGAATAAAACCCTGAAATGTCAGAGGGAAGGCTCACATTATAAGCCATTATGTGTAATCTTCTGCGAGGAGAAGAATGTGAAGCCGGCTGTTTTCAAAATAATTTAAAATTGTGTTTGACCTCAGCTTCTGTACGAAAGGTGAAGTGACGGTCCCGAGAACTGAATCTAGTTTTGAGAGACTGACTTCACAATACGGTCGTACGGAAATTAAATCAAGTGCAGCGTTCATAACGTTTTTGTGGCTTTTGCACAGAGGAGACTTTTTAAACACTGCTAAGCTACTTGTCAGACTATAACTTGTAGTACGAACATTATTTGTCAGTTCTGTTTTGCAGTACTTTTTTAAATTGTTACAATACTGCTACACATTTTGTGTATGTGATTCTAAAGCAACTAGAAGGCAGACGAGTCAAAATGCTTTACGTAAGACATTAAGACAACATAAAAAGACACATTTAGAATGTAAAAGATTATAATTAAATAGAAGATAAAAATGATCTAGAATATGATAAACGAGATGTGAGACTAAAACAAGAGAATAAACGTACTCTGTATTGCAGTTAGTGCTGTGCAAGATGTGGAGTTAGTCTTTTCACTCGATGTTGAACCTGCTGCAGGGATTTGTTCCCGTTCAACCACAGGACCATTGCTGAAGTCCAACTCTGATGTTGGGTGATCCGGTTTGGCTCGCAGTTGGTGTTTGATGCATGTTTTGATGAACATGAACAAAACGGACTCAAAATGACAGCAAATAAACATAAAAGTAAAACAAAAAGGTACTAGACGTCTACGAAGAGATTCAAAAACAGCTGCAAAGACACTCACGACTTTGAAATGGAGAAAACCTCAAAGAGACACAAAATGACTACAAAGATACTGAACATGACCACAAAGACACATAAAACGACTACAAAGAGACACAAAGGAACTACAAAGAAATGCAAAAAACTGATGCTAAGAGACTCACAACAACTATGAAAAGGGACAACTCAAACAGACACAAAGAAGCTACAAAGAGAAGCAAAATAATCAAAAAGATACTCAACGTGACCACAAAGACACATAAAACGACTACAAAGAGACACAAAGGAACTACAAATAGACCAAAACAACTACAAAGAGATGCAAAAACTGAGTCTCGGCTCATGACTATGAAAAGTAAAAAAAAACCACCTCAATGAGACACAAAGCGACAATAAAAAGAGGCTAAGCAAAAGTCTGTCGTTCCCTCTCCTTTGTTGGAGTGGTGGGGGGGTCTTTGGCATGTCTGTGCCCGGGGGCCCATTGGATCATAGTTCGCCCGTGCATGAAGGTGTTTGGTAAATGCCAAAAACGCCAAAAGAAGAACTTAGAAGAAGCTAGAAATGACCAAACAGATGAATTATTCCTATTCATGAACTGCAAGCGAGACAAACGTCTTATCGTGTGTTGAGGCTTTAAACACTTTAAGTGGACCTCAGTAGTTGGACCTTTTTGATACTTACTCTACTTCAGACCTAAAATGTTGCTCATGGTCAGAAGATGCTGCATTTTGAAATTGAAACGTTGTCATTTCGTTTGCTTCTTCTCTTCAGCCTGAGAGTGGAATCCTCTTCTCCAAACTTCTCGCCTACCTGGACGAAAGCTCCTTCAGCAGCCCCCCCTCAGCGAGGAACCGCGACGTCGTCGCTGCGGAGACACCCAGAGGCCGACAGGCGGGGCTGGAGAACGTCCAGAGTCGGACCAGCGCGGCGGGGGTGACGGTGCAGAAGAAGGACGCCGCCCAGTCGGTGGAGGAGGTGTCGGAGGTGCGGGGCTGGATCAAGGAGGTGGCTCCGCCTCCTGCTTCGCTCGTGTACGAGAAGCCGCACAAGAAGACGATGCACGTTCCCGAACTTCAGCTGGACGTCAAAGCCGGCGGGAAGAAGGCAGACGAGGATGTCTTCGGCTACGTCATCACCGACACAGAGTGAGCAGGAAGCTAAGCTATCGAATAGAGTCCGACTGATGCTGGATTTTAGAGTTTGATTTCAGTTTTTATATTTGAGATTAAAACAATCAGTTTTTTGATATTATTGGTTCAATAGATATCCGCACAGTTACATCTATGCAGAGAACACTTTGTGTTGATATTATTGGTTGAAATCAGTCTTTATAGCCGACATAATTATAGTTAATTAGTTAATTAAGGCCACATGACATCTTTTGATTAAATGATTGCTGTTTCAACAGATATAACAAGAAATATTTATATTACCCAGCTTTGAATACACTGCTGCTGTATTGACTGTCTTAAGAGAAAACATTCCACACGATGTATTTTCTTTTGTCTGTATTTAGAACGATCCACAGTAACCTCCAATACTGTGTTCACACAGCAACAGAGGCACGACGTGTGTCTTCTCTGTACATTTACAAATCTGTTTCTGTGTCGAGGCCATCAAGGAACAAAAATAAAATCTAGTTTCTCATACATCACGAAATAGGTGAGATAGAAACTGCCTTCACACTGATGTCTAATATTACCCAGGATGCAACAACACGACACTGTCAGGCCATATCTTTCCTTCAATTGGTTCTTATTCACATCGATGGTAAAGTCATTTTCAGATTGATTCCTCCGCTCCTCAGTTTGAGATTAGAGACATTTTCCAAATGTTTGCTGTGGTTTCTTTTTCTGTCTTTCATCTGCAACAAGGCGCACTGTGGCTTTTCCCTTTCTGTCTCTTCCTCCTGGTCACTCAGATAAATACAAGCCCCGGATGTTACATTAAATAGGAAGACTATCTTTGCGATGTTGTTGACACGGTCACATTTAGGGCTTTAGTTCAACAAATGACAAAGTGTTTGGTGTTTGTTTGTAAAAGCTGATAATATGGAATACATCATGTTTCTGACTAATTTAAACTCAGGCATTTCTTTTTGAAAATAATATTTATTTAAATATTTGTTAGTTTCCTGTATTGCTTGGCTCCCGGTCCCGGACGGAAGTGAAGATCTTGGTTGTAACGTTAGTGTATCCAGAAGCCAAAGTGAGCTGCAGTCAAAGACCGCGCATCCTGTGAAGTCCCGTTGTGGACGACGTGCTCAATGCAGGGCTCTGAAGCCCCGCCCCCTGTTGCTACACAGAGCGCCGTTTGCTAATTTATTCAAAGTTTATTAATATTGTCCAAATTGCACCAAATTTGAAACAGCACGCCGTGGGTTCCCCAGCTTAACACCCAGCAAGTGTGAAGTAGATCAGATGAGCTGAGTTTGAGTTATGTAAAGGACAGACAGACAGACACACAGACACACACAGACAGACAGCGATTCCTTCCTTTATAGTGAGATTGTAACATCACACAGGTTTCTTTTGTTAAAACCTGTAAAAACTTCAGTCAGCAGAAGTTTTACTCTGACAGGAAGTGTACATGACGGCACTGGAGACGCAACTGCTGTGACTTTATGAAACCGAGGTTGCGTTGCTCTGACGATAGGTGAACAGCTGCAAGGTTAAGATGTCCTCAGACACTTTAGCGCCGCAGATGTCTTCAGACTTCAGTGTGCTCAGCACATTCCTCTCTTACCCTTTACTTCTTCAAAGTGCCTCTTGACATTTCCGTGAGGTTGCTGGACTCTCAGAGAACACAAAAGTCCTCGACTGTTTTCACATTCTGTCAAATCTCTCCTCGAGAGAGCGGAGTGCAGCACCGAGCGCAGCACGGGGAAAATAAACGAGACTTAAAGAGATTCAAAGCTTCTTCTGGACTAGAATACTCTCAATGTCCACGTTTTCACCAGTCTGTTGGTTGTTGTTTGAGCAATGACAAAACGTTAAACCTTCTACCGTGTGAAAGACACGTCTGAATGCAGTCAAATGTACATTTTTAGTCTCTCCATAAAACCTTGAACGTGTCTGTAGATGAAATAATACACAACACCTCTTGATGACAACAAGAGGAACATGAACCAGAAGGCGTTTCATTTCTTTTATCTCTTTCTACTAAATTACTTTCTGTCGCACCGTTTATACGTCAAAACATTCCAAACTTTTTTGTGTAAAAGATGAACGTTTATTTCTTTATATACTTGATTGTGTCGATACATGTCGTTGATACGTTCCTTTCCTTTTTCAAACATCTTGACACAATTTTTCATAATTTCGTTTGTTTCCACCCAAACATAACTAAATTATTCCAAGACACAAATACATAAACAGCTGGAGTCAAACTGAACAATTAAAACAATTACAAATAAAAAGTGACTCCATAGCAGTTTGTATGAAATATTATTATAAGTAAGAATTAGAATAAAATAATAGTAAAATAAGATGCTAGCATCGTTTCGTGTTCGTTTTAATTTGTTTGTTTGAAACTCTGCTTCTTGAGATAAAGCTCTAAGGCTTAATCTTGATTGTGTTACTGAGTGACTCTTTAAACTCTTTAAACCAAAATGACACAAACGATCTAACCGACCGAGGCAGTCGATGGAGTCTAGTGTCTGTAACGCGTAGATATCGGCTTCAGTTCCCCGTCACAAAGAGCTGTGTGACAGTCAGCTAACTTTAGCGTACACTTTAACTCATATTGATTGTCTCAAATACTCCTCTGATGACAATTTCTATCTGGAGAAGAACGTAATACAACCACACGTTACAAAATCTAGACTATCCCTTTATGTGTTGCTCAATCACAGCTTTAAGTAAGACATGTATCCTCTACAATAGTTTGAGGTGTCTTCAATCCGTCCCCAGAGGAGTGACATGTCTTCTTTTTATTAACAACACAGCTGCATTGTTCATAGGAATAAAAATCGTATCAGTGCAGGACTAACGAGACGGATAAGATGCAAAGAGGAGGAGGAGGAGGAGGAGGAAGAAGACAGGGTGATTCATCACAGCTGGAGGAAAACACCTGCTCTCCAGCCCACACACACACACTGCTCATATGGCCGTGTGGACACACACTCCTTTAACCCTGCAACCTATAAAAGCCATTCCCTTGTTTCCTCCCGTCCCACACACACACACACACACACACACACACCTGCTGTGAATCATGATGCACATCAGACTGCATCTTAAAAGACCTATAACAACATGAAACACCCACATTAGTCTTTAAGATCACCCAGGATGTAAAGTAATGATCAACAAGCTTCAGTTGACGTGTGTATATAAAATGCTAACTGCCAAACCGCATTCAGCTTTAAATGTCTTTCACTCCCTAATTAGCTTAATTAAAAGAGAGGGAGAAGGGGAAGTGGCATTTTTTTCTTTAATAATCTATAATTATGTCATTTTTAAAAACATTTACCTTCCCTTGAACATTTCTGTTTTTATTTCTCATTTATATTATTTATTCGATACTCAAGGCAATTAGTTTCACAGGTTTATTGACCGTCCTTTGATGAACTCCCTGTGATAATATCAGGGTTAAACTTTCATACACAGACACGCATAACATGACATGACAACAGCAGTTCAGTCAGGAGAGACAAGTGACGGATTAGTATGAGGCTGGTAGAAAAGAGTTGATGAAGCTGATGAATCTGTGAAGATTGGGCGGAGATGGGGAGGTGGAGGGTTGCGTAACAGCTGCATGACCGTACTGAAGGTAGAGAGACGATCATGTTTAAGAGAGTCAGCAGCAACATGATAGGCTAACGATGTCATTGTGTCGTTGTGCTGTTGGCTAGAGAGACCAGCTGATCTAGACAGCTGATGTCATGATTGACCGCCCCAAACAATGAGAGCAATACTCATCAGGGGACTGCAAACTGTAAAATACTCTCGGACGCTGTCGGAAGACTCCCACTCAAATATTTTAAACCACAACCTTCATTCATTGTTTGTTTGTAGCTGTTACAAGTATTAGCATCCCCGGTAGCAGTACAGGTGTTCCATCAGCACAGACACTGAACAGGTCAGGCTGTCGGTTTGTTAGCGTTTGCCCTTAAACTTTAAAATGTGTAAGAACAGAATAATGAGACGTTTTGAACAAACTGAATCAAAGCTGCTCCGGTCTGTAGGAGAAAACATCCTGCTGTTGTATCTGAGAGGGATCGTAACCCAACGTACCGCGTGTGCTGCAGAGCTACAGTGGTGGAGCTGCGGTGAGGTTCCTCGGTGCGGTTCCTCGGTGAGGTTCCTCGGTGCGGTTCCTCGGTGAGGATCGCTGCTGTTGGATCTGAAGCAGCAGCAGCAGCAGCTGACTCGTGCCGTCGCTGTCTGCTCTCCAGGCTGAGGAAGGCTGTTACGAACCATCATTCAAGACAAAACAAAAAAATGACGTTTTACACTAAAAGAAACTTGGCTGCCATTTTTCCGATATTTGGAAGCATAGTTAGAATATTGTGAACACTACAAAAACCTAATTGAATGATTGGGAGGAACAAATAAATTAAAGGTTGCAGACGAACTAAACAATTCAAATGCATGAATTAAAAGTACCCTGCAGGTGTCTGGAGGCTTCTTCTCTTCTGCATTTGAACTCAGCAGAGGGAGCTGAGGGGAGGTCGGACGAGTCCACAGCAGATAGGAAGCAATTAGCTTAGAGTTTGGATATCAAGCTTTAGACGTGATCTCCAAGCGCGCACACACACACACACACACACACACACACACACACACACACACACACTCACCCTTTGCTTGCATTGAGGCTGTTTTAATTGACTACTTAATCAGTTGTTCCTCCATTTCTCTGCTGTTTCACAGTTTGGTGAATTGTCGGTGAGTTTCTCTTTCTAAATGTAGCTTCTACATCAACAGTCAAAGGTCCTCTTGTTAAATGAATGGTTTCAGTCTCGCTGTCGGGCAAACCACCTTGCATCAAAGCTCCGCACTATGGAGAGGAGAGCAAGAAGGACAGAAGGACAGAAGGACAGAAGAAAGGATGTAAGAGCAAAGACTAAGACGTGAGGAGAGGAGGACGGAAAGAAGAAGTAATGGAAGCAAGACATGAGGGAAGTTTATGTAAGAAAGAAAGAAAACAAGGAAAGTAGAGAGGACGAAAGAAAGACGAGAAAGAGAAAGAAGCATAAAAGAAACAAGAAACAAATGTTTATTGGTCAGCAGCTCCTGTTGAATATAAAATACTTCTAAGTATCCAATAACTCAAGCTGTCAGAAAAATGCAGTGGAGTAAGAAATACAGAAACGCTGTGAAGTGGAAGCACAAAACTGTACCCAACCTCCTAGAAATGACATTTATTTACAACTAGATGAAACACGCGCTGCCTGTAGTGTGTTAGGAGGGAAGCTTCTCCTCACGAGCTGGATTGTTTTTAAACGACTCTTTTGTTTTAAAGGAAACAATGAAAAGATTCAAAAGATTATGTTCTCATCAACATCATTTTGAATTATATGCATCTATACCATATCCACTCATAGCAACTTACGCATAATTACGCTTGATCAGCGTTAAAAATAACCTTTTGTTGATTTAAAATAAGTAACAAATCTGTAGATTTGAATGAGACGGCTACATGTAAAATGTTAATGTTAAATGTATTTCCAACATGATCTCATTCCACTCGTCACATTTTGCGGCGACATGACGAGAGCTGGACACAGAGCTGGATGCATCGCCTCATTCCTTCCTAAACCTCTCTCAGTGGCGCATGAAGCAAAAAAAAGTTTAATTCCAGAGAATAAAATTCAGATTAAATTACGCAGAACTCCGCCCCAAAGACAAAGTCCAGCCTGGTTCTCATTCACATGAACGGAGGAAGTAAAACAACTCTGGGTTTGACTGTGAGGGCCGTCTACACCTTTGAGTGATTCACGTGTTCGTACTGTGAGGTTGATTCACTTCAAACATCCACTGAGTCACAGACTTCTCTTAATAAACGTTTGATGGAGTTTGGTGAAAGTGTCTCAGACTCAGGCGGCTACTCTCCACCTCTAACCGTGTTTCTTTTCTCTCTCTTTTTAAGTGCATGCGCACAAATAACAGTCAAAACAAACAAATCCACAAAGAGCATTAAGCAGTGTTCCATTATCATTTGAGACATTCATCTCTTTATTCGGCCCAAAGTATGTCTGAATACCAGCGGTCTGCTCTACATCAGGGTGAAGTAGCTTTCTCGTCTTTTTTTTTTGTTCGAGGACGCCGACTCGCTTAAAAACACAACAGAGGTCGTTCTCACCGTGGAACGCTGCCAGAGCTCCTTCATTTGTTTAATGGCTGCACAGAGTCTGTGTTTTGGCCCGACCTTTTCCACTCACCGTCAGCGCTCACTTAAAAGCATAAAACGAGGGAGCGGGGAGTGATGATAAGCTCTCTGCGTTCGACTTTCCTCACCTCAGTATTCACCTCCCTCACCTCACCTGGGAGCTTCTGCTTCTCTCTTCTGGACTTCAGGTTTTGGTTTTGATTTTTCTAAATTAGCAAGTGGTGAACTATAAAACCTTTATTTCATCACATTTTAATTTCAAAAACTTTTCTCTCATTAGCGTTAACCTGATGTCACCACATCCTGAATCTTAGTTGCACACATTTGGCCTAATCATTTCAGTATGCCGTAAGTGCTTCAACATGTCCCTACATTAACAAGCCTCTATATGCATTGACATGTTGGCATGTTCTCAGAAGTATCCACTCCATCTCACAGATGCTTTTGGTAGCACTCATACACTCTTCGGCAGAACCTTATATGGTTGGCTTGTCCTCAGAGGAAAACCCTTGGTGGTTCCAGGTTGAACCATTCCACCTGGAACCCTTTCGTGGGTTCTACTACAACCCAACACAAAGGGTTTACCTAGAACCATCGGCGAAAAGGTTCAATCCAGAACTCTCTATGCAAGGTTCTACAGAGAACCCTTCTATGGTGTAGTGGTTTCACCCAGAGCCCTCTGTGGTTAGGGTTCTGAGCTTTTGTGACGCAGCTGAAGGCATCAACCATCGATTTGGTTCGATCCACTTCCCCATCTGTCTGTCAAAGTGTCCTTGAGCGAGACGCTGAACCCCAAGTGGCTTCCCAGCGGCCCGCTGCTCCTGAAATGTTAATGCAGAGGTCGCATTTTATGTATGTACCTTAATGTATATGACCATTGAAATTAAATTATGGTGAAGCGCCCGGTGTGTAAAGGCCTTTAGGGTGCTAAAATCACCAAGGGAGTTCTACCAAGAGCCCTTTTGTAGACCAAGGGTTTCATCTAAAACCCACCCAGGGTTCCTCACAAGGCTCCTAAAGTTCGGGGGAAGATGTGGTGCAGCCCAACCCGCAACAATAATGGTTCACAACCACCGTTTCTGGGCGTTGTGTGGACTTTGAGGATCTTTGAAAAGCTCTTTCTTCAAAAAAGGGTCTTTCAGCAGCAGATTGTTCTGGGTAGAACATCAGCCCTTCAGGTAGAACCCTTTTGGAACCCTTATTTCTAAGAGCATAAATCTGAAGAAGTACTAAGAATTTGGTTTTAATCTGTGGGATGAGTTTAATTTAATTTCTGTTCTTTCTCTCCTTTACCTTCTTTCCTTCCTTTTCAAACATCCCCATCCCCTCTTTTCTTTCTGTCCTCCTCCTCCTCCTCCTCCCACCTCCTCTTCGTCGTCATCAGTGGACTCCAGACAGACGAAGGCCTCCACCTGATGGAGATCCTGGCTCGCAGGGCTAAAATCCAGATGACCGACTTCGCCGAGCTCTCGTAAGTATTTCTGCTTTTTTTTGATCTGTCACTCACACTTCAGCACAATCAACATCCAACCTAAAGCTGGTATTTATTCTCCGGGTTTAAACCGTTCATTTGTCCAACTGCGGGGTGGAGTGTCATCAAAACACACACACACACCTGCTCATTTACTGTGTTTGCTACCGCTCTGTGTAATCTATTGCTTTTGAGTTTCACACCTGTTCTGGTTAAAAATGCCAATAAATAAAGTCTGTTCAAACAGAGCCGGCACACAGGAAGTGACACGTTTCACACGATTCATGTGTTTTCACGAGAATAATCCCGGCAGTGTCCAACATGAGGCTGGATCATTTTCCATGTTTTGAAGTTTCACACAATCATCCAGAAACACTCTAAACTGCAGTCCTGTTTCAATCTACAGACGTCAGCTTTGAAACGTGCAGTTTATCAGTCTGATATGACATCAAACTGTTATAATATAACCAGCTAAATAATGATTTTAATTTCTCTTAATCTCGCGACTATAATAGTAAAATGTGATGCATCCCTTTTTTGGGGGAGCGATGTCGTTCATCAGGATTTAACGGTAGTTATTTAGCTCATATGGAATTTTTCCTAACTTAAGTTATAGGGTGTGAAGGGAAACTGATATTTTTCAACCTGCTCCCCATTTCCCCATGTTTTTGTGTCTAACTGACTTGTCGTGTCTTGTCGTTACTCGCTCCAATGTTGAGGACATCTTTACCTACGTGTATTATCTTTTCTGTTTCAAACGGCCTGATATGAGTTTGCTCAGCCGGTCTTCTCTGCAAAGGCCTGCAGAAAACGTTAATGTGTATCTTTGCCGAAGTCTTTAAACCTTAGAGCAGCACGGCTAATCATAAAATACCCACCGACATCTTTTACATGCAAAACATATTCAGTTATTTTGCCCTTATTCCGAATAAGCTGTTCACATGGGTAATGGAAATGAGTATTCCACTAATATTCCCGTTTACATGCAGTACAACGACACCATGATGCTTCCTCATTACTGATTATAGGGGCCAGTGAATCCTACGACGATGCTCTTCACGTCTATGTTTGACGGGTCCGTGCCCGAACATGTCAAAACATGGAAAAGTGGAACAGCAGCAGCCGCTTGTGCCATTTTGCTTCTTTGCGTCAAAATGTTTTAAAAGTTTTCCCAGCGGTGGAGGACTTGTTGGACCGTGTGAACTCAGCCTCCCTCTTTCCTTCCTTCAACCACCTTCTTAAAAAGGTTGTTGATATCCAAGTCGTTCATAAAGGTGTGTTTCTCCTTCAGAACAGAAATGTGGGCTTTTCTTTTTCACATGCATCTCTGCTTCAGCTTTGCAACCTATTGGCTTGTTTGTGTTCAACGCACGGAGCTGGTCGTAAACAGGAAAGAGGCCGTGTGTCTCAAAGTGCCATAAAAACCTGTATTGAGGCTCATATTCTGAATGTGCTGTATATACGCATCCAAATAACGCTCCTAGAACCAGGATAATATCGGCATATCCCACATGTTTTAATCAGAGAATGGTCCATCCAGAAAAAGGCCTAATTCATTGACATGAGCCATATCAAATTCAGAATCATGTCATATTCTGAATAATAGTGGAAAATGAGTGTGAATGTAAACGTAGTCACTGTGAGTGGGCTGCCGTGTTTGGGTCCCGCTCCAGCGCTGTGTTCAGGAAGCGTTTTTTAATGTTTCCAAAGTCCTCCTCTAACTCTCTAATAGAGCAGCGCCTCTGGTAATGCAGCCCTGCCAGCTGTCAGACGGCCAGGCAGTTGACTAAAATTAAGAATTACTTCATCAGTTTAACGCTCCGAAATCACCAACGCCTCCGTCCTCTTGACTAGAGATGCTGGAGGAGCAGAGAGGTCTGCAGATGACTCACCGTGTTTATCGTGCGACATCAAGCGTCTTGTACCCGTAGGGCTCGAGTGGGCGGCAATTCTTTTTCCCAAAGGGCGAGACATCTCGTACTGAAACTCTTCAGATGTTCCACCGAGGAAGACGAGCAGCGGTTACCCTCCCCCGTAACCCTCCCCCCCCAAGCATGTCGGATCAGAGAGGGCAAACTGGTGGGATCAAAACACAGGGATTTTAAAGTCAAAATCAGAAGCAAATGAGGTAGAGAAGAAACAGTGCCCTGAATGCAACGACGTCCCCTTATTTTCATTCTGTCAACATATTTTCCTGCTCCGGGGGAGGGGGGGGGGGGACAACGAGAGCTGCTCCTCCGCGTTATTGACATGTTGGAGTCGAGCCGCCGCCGACTCCAATCACTTATTAATGAGGCTGAACTCTGCCTGAACCCTCTCACTTATTCTCCGGGCTTATCTACCCCCCCCCCCCCACACACACACACACTCGCGCACACACAGGTGACTTGCAGTGGGTTGTGAACATTGTCAATGCGGTGAGCTGCAACTGCAAAAACAAGTGCTACTGCAGGGGTTTTGCACTTGAACCAACTAGCTGGGGATTATAGTCAGACTCGGTATAGAGACAGTCGATGCTATATAGTGTGTGTACAGGCCTACATGGTGAAAAGCTATAGGGGTCAAACATGTTTCATCCAGCAACAGGAACTTCAAAGGTTTTATGCATATCGGGTCTGGTGATTTGATATTTAGGGGTCTCGCATTTGGGTATGAAATCATGCCTCTATAGCGCCCCCCCTACAGTTGATCTTAAGTTTCAAAGGCCACGCCCCTCACCCCGAATGGCCGATTGACTTGAAATTCAACACACATGTTCAGTTCCATCTGCTCCTAAAATCCGCCGACATTGTCCGCCATTTTGACTTTTGTGAAAAACTATTTTTTGCGATCTCCTCTTGAACGCTGGGTCCAATTGCTAACACATTTTCTGTGCATCATCATTGAATCAATCTCATCAGATATTTTCAAATTCTTGTTGATATCTCCTTGTATTTCGAAGATATGGACCAATGAACTTATTAGGGGCGTGGCTTTGTACATTTTAATACACATAATGTCAAAACCATTTGGATTATCATCACGAAATTTGCAGAATATCTCCACATTGCATCCTGTAACATACCCTGACATTTTCATTACATTCAACCACCAGGGGGCTCTACAGTAATTTGGCCATTTAATGCCTTTTTAGGCAATTCTCGCCATTTTTAGGCTTTGTATTTTAATGAACTCCTACAGAATTTTTGCGATCAACTTCAAATTTGGTCAGGATGATCTAAAGACCTTTACGATGAAAAGTTATCAAAATGGTGAGTTTTCATTGAACGTCTGTTCTATATATATATTATGTTTGCTGCTAATTTAATAGTCTGAATTAGCACCTTTAAAGTGCTTTGTTTAAGAGTGAAGTGCATATTGGACTCAACAGTCCCACAATGCAACACTTAGCAGAACACGTGAAGTATAATTGGACGGCGTTGAGAAACAAAACAAAGCAAAAACAATGTCTTTTTTTTGAGTCAGGACGCACCTTGTCTCATGACTCATTCACATGAAATTGTAAAGTACATGATTTGACTTCACACCTACAGATACAATTCAATTTGTGTGAAACAGTGATTACTGTGATCTGTGCAGAATCGTTTTGGATGATTTATCTCGTTAGTCCAGCATATTTTTTATGGTATTAACAAGTATTGATTATTCTAAGACTTTTTTTACACAGTGAAACCGCTTTTTTAATGAATGAACACTAATGCTCACAGTGTGTGTGTGTGTGTGTGTGTGTGTGTGTATGCGCTGAAGTTTCCCATGCTGCAAAATGTAGCTCGGTTGCGATAAAAGTAAACTGAACTTTTTGAATTGAATTTGAAGTTGACAGAGAAAGAATTCATGTGTGTGGACATGGGGATTGGGTGGCTTTGGGGTGGTGCGATTCTCTCTCACACACACACACACACACACACACACACACACACATACCTTCACACACACTGCCTCCCTCCCACCCACCGCCGCCCGGGGCCCCGTTGTTCCCGCGGCACCTCGCCGCGCTGCTCGGCTGCTGTATGGAGTCGCTGGGTGGCCCGTACTGTTCTCCGTTCTAATGCACCTTTTGTCTTTGTTCTCCTATTCTGGGAATGAAAGACGGGAGCTGCACACTGGATAGTGATGGATCGGAGGCAGAGAAAGCAGGAGAGCGACAGACAGACAGAGAGAGAGAGAGATATAGATACAGAGAGAGAGAGAAGGGAGAAAGCTGAGAGTGTCTTTTGTTGCGAACGCAGTGAAAGCCCAGCAGGGGGAGCCGCCTTGACAATTTGTCAGAGGCGTGCGCGCTTGTTCTCCGAGGCCGCCCCGGCTCCTCACCGCTGTGGCAACGGCATGTCACCTCGGCCAGAATAAGTAAAGCCCAGAGACAAAGGCTTTAGATGGACGCTGAGCCTGCTGACACTCCTGATTTACCCAGCATGCCTCTGGCTATTACCGCCCCAGCTTCTCAACACCCCCAACTACTTTTTCTTTTTCTTTTCCTTCCCCTTTAACCTCTGCAAATCCAGTTTTCCAATTATTTCTCCCTCTATATCGATTTAAGGGGAGAGACTCCAGACAAAAACATGTCTTTTCATGCTCTGGTCAATTTAGAGATTTTGGTCTTTTTTGCTTCCATAACACGTCTTCTTTCAGACTAGAGGAGAGAAAACATCTCAAACACACATCCAGGTGTTTATTTTAATACTTTGTCTGTTTACGTCCATCGATTTCTCCTAAATTCACCAAAAGTTACCTTTAGATAATGCCTCATTTGCATATTTAAAGATAACATTTGAGAAAACTTGTAATACAAAAATGAATTGTCTCCCTGCCACCCCGTTCACCTGGACTGTCTTCACTTTTGGAAAACAAAAGACCGTCCTGTAAGGTGTTATTATATCATCGCTGATAATGTTTTTAAGTCAGTCAGGGCATTTTATTACGTGACGCCATCACCATTTTGATAAAATGTAATTTTGGTACAAAACACATATGTAATAATAAATTATAATAATATGTAGATGTGTGTGCAGCTATCAAAATCAACTTATAAAAGCATCTTTCAGCCCTAATTTTGTGTCCTAAAACCCTAATTTGATCAAAACTTTCCCAGCTAATGAAGTACAAATGACTTAAAACAGTTTTATGTAGTTAATCAAATGAAGTTAAGTTCAGAAAAGTTGTTCATTATTACATCACTGCTCAAGTTATTGACGTTTATTAGATTTTCGCTGAGGTTAATTGCTAATTTCATTAAGTTTTCAGGTGTAATTACATTAATTGCTCTTTCATTTGTCAACTGTGTTATTTGAGTGAGCACCAGAGAATAAATTCCATTCACCTCCACTGTATTTGGTTAGAGGCAAATATCTCACCGGTGGAAGCTGTACAAATAAAAACGCAACACTATCTGTCGGGGTGAACAGCACTGACAGTGCTGTATAAAGTCACAGTAGTGTGTGTGAGTTGCCCCCCCCCCCCCCTTCATCCATCTGCCATGGCAGCAACACCGGAGGTGCCTCCACCTTCCACCTCGCACAGAAGCACCAGATTAGCATATTACAGCAACAAAAAAATGTCTCTTGACAAAGTAGCTGGCGACCTGCGCAACCTCAGCCACTTTCAAAAGACAACAAAACTCTCCCTCTTCTACCGGTTTCCTCTCGGGGGAGGCGAGGGGGGGAGGGGAGGGTTAGAGAGCAGCGAGCCTGCAGCAAAATATATAAAAAAATAAAAAGTCCACTCTGGCAAACATATGAATCATAGAAATGATCCTCCACACTTTGTGCCAGGACACTAAGCGAACCTGGAGAGTGACTCACAGCTTTGTGTTTCATTTGGAACAATTCAATACCGGTGCTTTAGATAATACTGACGGCGAGCACTTCAAATAAAAAATAAAAAAGGCCTTGTATGTGTGTTGTTTTTTTTTAGCCGGCGTGGTGGACTGGTAGCGGTGGAGGGCGAACAGGAAGCGTTGGTGTGGGTGGATTTGGCAGAGCCTTTGACTGTACGCTGGCAGCCAAATAATCACGGCTGTTGCGTAACTGTAGCCGAGTGTGTAGACTGGATGTGTTTTGTTTTTTTAATAAACCTGAGGGTCGAGGTGATGTAACGTCTGCCTGAGCTGAGGGGGTCATATCAGAGAGCCGCCACTAGGAGGAGAGAGAGGGCCTGAACTGGCTCAGGATGAGGAGGAGGAGGAGGAGGATGAGGAGGAGGAGGAGGAGGACCGGATGTGTGCAACACTGCAAAACAAAAATCTTTATCCATCATCCAGTCCAAATGGTTGAGTTTTATTTTCTTGAAACAAGTCACACCATCTACCATCACTTTTTTGATTAAATTATCTTTGTGCAGAAAAATCAAGCTATAAAAGCATATATCTGATGAAAACTATCCAATCTAATGAAGTACAAATTATTTAAAATGGTTTTATTGAAATGAGTTGAACCATAAAGTACTGGTAAAGAATCAGTCTATTTTTTACTCATCACGGAGGTTTTGATAGTCTTTAGTCCATCCACAGCATCTCGTGGCTCTTGAGTGACACTTTACACAGAGGATTAGAGATCAGTTAGTACAGATCATATAATCCTCCAACTAATCTGGAATAATGCAAAACATTTTGGGGGGATTTTCTTTTGTTTCATGACCCCCCCCCCCAATGAGTAAAAAATAGACTGATTCTTTACC